CACCATGCCCATGCCCACTACCATCACCATCACCATCACCATGCCCATGTCCACCACCATCACCATCACCATCACCATGCCCATGCCCATGACCATCACCATGCCCACCACCATCACCATCACCATCACCATGCCCATGCCCATGACCATCACCATGACCATCACCATGCACATCACCATGCCCATGCCCACCACCATCACCATCACCATCACCATCACCATGCCCATCACCATGCCCATGCCCACTACCATCACCATCACCATCACCATACCCATGCCCACCACCATCACCATCACCATCACCATGCCCATGCCCATGCCCATGCCCATCACCATCACCATCGCCCAACGTCGCCGCCTCCACGACTACACTGTCAGGATCGTTGCGGTCGTCGCAGCGGTCGTCGCGGCAGTTGTACGCAGCGTCTTCGTGGGCTTTGTTGTTGTCTTCAGATTCACGTTTAATCCCGGGCCAGCGACGCAACCGCCTCCCGGTGTGCCTGATGCGCAAACGCCGCGCCGGTCACTCGGTCGCCTGCGCGACACCCGACGTGCAGCAGCTGCTTGATCGTCTCGCCGCGGATCACTCTGGGGTTGGGCGCCACCGTCCCCTCGTCCGCATCTAGAATGCTCCTCGCCACCTGCCACTCGAGCGAGACAGCGCGCGCAAAGACCGCAGTCGCCACCGCCGGGATCGCCACCGGCAGCGCGCCCGAGCCAAACACGGCGGCCCACTCAACAAATGCGCGTGTGATGGCGGCCGCCGCAAGCGGTCCACTTCCGTGGGCAATACCGTGGACGGTCCAAACCAGCCCTGGCCACCGCGGATCAGGCGCCTGCTCGCGCGCCACAAGCTGCGACACAGCCGCCCGCAGCGCTGCCGCGTGCATCATCTCCTCACTCACGATCGCCAGCGCAACGCCCAGCAGCGGTGCAAACCGCCCGCCCCACATCGTTGCCACCACATCGGCCTCCTCGTCGCTCTCGCCGGCCGCCAGCCCAACCTGTCCCGAGCTGTGAATGAGGCACCGCGCGAGGAGCTCGTTGCAGTCGCTGGCCCGGTCCGGCACAGTCATTGCCGTCGCGTGGACTGCGGCCCAGGTGAGGCATCGGCCGAGCAGGCCCGTACTGATGGTCCCGATCGTGGTGAACACCTCGCTTGCCACTGCGCTCGGCGTCTTGTCGGCCAATGGCCAGCGCCGGATCGCAGCCCACACCGCCGTGTACAGCGGCTCCTCCATGTTGCTGCATGCTGACAGCGCGCCCGCCACCTTGAGCAGAAAGTCGCACGATGCATCGTCGGCGTTGAGCATGTCCACCAGGGTCTCCGCCGGCAGCGCCTGTAGCATCGTCGCCATGGACGTCGCGTTGGACGCCACAGACCGCAGCGCCGCGTGGTCGGTCGGCGGCTCGGCGACCCACATCTCGCCGATCTCGTACCAGTTAAACTCGAGCCCGCGCTCAAGACGGTCGTTGATCTCTGCGAGGCTGAGGAAGGTACCCGGGACCACCATTGTCTGCCACGTGTCCAGGCCCCCGCTTGCCGCACTCTTGCCCGTCGCGTTGTAGAAGAGCGGAAAGTCGAACCCATCGCACACCTCGAACGCCATCAGCCCGTCCAGATCGGCGTTGCACTTGAGCACCGTCCGCAGATATGCCGCCAGTCGCACCAGCGGATGGCTCTTGTATGGTTCCGCCAGCTGCGACACAAACTCCGGGTACGTCTTCAGGTCCGCCGCCGCCACCTCCACGCCAACCACGCCCCACTGCGCCGCCCTCACCGCCGCCGCCGCCACCAGCCCCAACGGCGATCCGCCCGTCGGTGTGCCCTTGTAGCTCTTGACAAAGGTCTCTGCAAACGCGTGCGCCATCTTGTCGCCGATGTGCCACGCGCGCCCCAGCAGCCACGAGGCAAGCGGGCCCGGCGTCTCGGCCGAGATCGCTTCCACCAGCGACTTGACGTGCCGCAGCGAGAGGACAGACTCGCCGAACAGCAGCCGCATCGCAACGGCGCACTCCTTCAGCTTGCGCCGCACGTCATTTCCGAGGCGGCAGCCCTTGATGCCGCTGCACAGCTGGGGCATCAGTTCCACCATCTCGTCGATGTTGAGCCGAGCCCAGATGGTCTCGTACTCCAGCGAAGGCGTGTGGAGGACAGCCGCGTCGAGCAGCTCGACATCGCACGAGTGCTTGCGGTTAGCGAGGCAGACAACCTGGAGCCATGCCCGCTTGGGAAGGGCCCAGGCAAAGAGCGCGTCCTTCTGCGACCGGTCAAGCCGATCAAACTCGTCGGCCACAAGCACCGTCCGCACCTTCCCGTCGATGGGTACCACCGCCTCCACCGCAGCCACCACCGTCGACCGCTCCAGCTCCACCGAGGAGCAGTCGATGCGAACGACGATGCCACCGTCCTTGAGCAGTTTTGAAGACATGATCTCGACCATCGTCGTCTTGCCCGTCCCCGGGTCCGAGCACAACACGATGACCGTCACTCCCCGCGTGCATGCGTTCGTCAGCCGCACCTTCCACTCTGCGTCGCGCTCCGTCACAAGATTGGGACTCAGCGCTGGTTCCGCAATCGCCCAAAGCTCGCCATCGTTAGCAAGCGATCGCCGCTCTGTCTCCACCATCACCTTGGTTGACTGCCCCAGCGACTGGTCGGACGCGCTCTGGTGCGCCGGCTCCGAGAGCAGGGTGAACCGATCCGAGTCGGCGGCACGGAACAGCTGCCCGGCATCCATCTCGATGTAGACGTATGTCCACGGCGCGTCATGCGTGTGCTCGCACACCAGCTTGACGTACTTGTCGTCGGTTGGGTTGAAGCCCTTGACGTACACAAACGGCCGCTCCGCCAGCGCGTCCATGATCAACGTGTACATCTCGTGGCCGTCCATCCCGCCGCCACTCAGATCAAGCACCCGCCCGATCGGCACCTTGGCCTTCCGCACCTTCGTCAGGTCGTCGGGCCTGCAGAGGAGCACTCCGTAGCCAGCCGTCCGCTGCGTCATCGCCGTCAGCGCGCTCTCCTCGCTCGCCTGTGCGTCGAGGAGCATGTTGTTGCACGCCACGCTTCCCGCCTCGGCGCACACCTTGTCGCGCAGCAACAGCGCCAGGCCAGTGGCAAGCACCTTGGTGATGCCGTTGATCTCGTTTGGCCAAACAGGGCTCACGTCCTGCCGTGCAATGTCCAGCAACCATTGCTTGAGGCTGGCCGGAATGGGTGCCGCCAGCGTGAGGCTGAGCCACTTGCGCGCCGCAGCCATCCGCTCCACAAGCGGCTTATCGGGATGTCCGCCGTGCACCAGCTGCTCCACCACCTTTTGATCCGTCACAAAGCCAATCACAATCTGGTTTGCCATCTGCGATCCGTCTTCCAGATCCAGCCCGAGCTTGGCCACCTCTTCCCGTCCGTGCGCTTTGGCCGAGACTCCAATCCACTCCAACGGCACCGCTTCGAGTGTCGTCACGTCGCAGACCGTCCAGCCCGTTGGCCGCGGATAAACTTCGGTCTCCGCCTGCCACGCCTCAAACCGGGTCGTGTGCGCCGACGGCGCGTGGATGCAGTACCCGTTGGCGTAGCTGCACGATGGCGCGAGATCGGTGTCCCAGTAACCCGACAGCTGCGGCCTCGCCTCGAAGAGCGCCACGAGCATCCGCTTGCTCTGGCTACAGAACCGCACAGCACTAGCTGCGGCCCGCAGGTGTCGTGGCAGCGTTGAAAGCACGTTGTCGATCTTCGAGGCACTGCACACCTCGCGCATCGCCGTCACATCGTCCGCAAACTGGTCCGGCACGGCGGCCAGCGCCTGGGCGAGCGCCTGAGCGAGCGCCTGGGCACCCGCCGGTTCTGCGATGTCCACACAGTACTTGGCCACCATCGCTTTCGCCAGCATGTCCAGTACCTTGACGACCTCGGTCGGAAGCTGGCTGGGGAGCACGCCGGCATGATGTGCAGCGAGTACGTCGGCGAACGACCGCGGCGCCGGATCCGGGCTCAGCACCGAGAGCTGCCACGGCGAGTCGATGGCGCAGCTCGACGAGATTGCGATGCGCGTGAGGACAAAGCCCGATGCCACCAGCCGCGTCCCGATGGGCACTGCAAGCAGCACTCGCCACGCCTCCTCCGACGAACCAAACTGCCGCACCACCCGAAGGTGCGGATCGTCCCCTGCCATCGCACTGGCCTCCATCAGATGCAGGACTGGCGACGAGTGGCGCATGTCGTACAACGCGACCACCTCGGCCAGCGGCCGGACAGACACCACCGACACGATCCCGTGCGTCGACGTTACCTGTACCATTGCCGACACGTCGATTGTAGAGAACTGGCCCAACCGCAGCTGCGCCTTGGTGACCGATCCCGCAGACGCCGCCCGCGCGTCCACCCGCCCGCCTGCACTCCATCCGCTCGACGCAATGCCGGCGCGGAGACTATGCTGGACGCGCCGGCGGCGCGCCGGCTTCGAAAGCACCGTGACTTGATTCAGCTGCCATGCCTTGTCCGTCATTGACTCCGTATCCTCCTTGCTGGCGGTTGCGTCCTCATCGCAGCCCGCCGCCGTGCCGCTCGCTGCGGCGTCGGCCGGCGGCTCAATCTCGGACAGCGCCTTGCTGAGCGGCTTAGATGGCCAGAATGGCGCATGGCGCGAAGGAGACCAAGTCACCGACGGCACGCCCGCCTTGGCAAAGACCTCATCCATCTTGCGCCGGATCGGGGGCGGGAAGTTGCGGAGCGCGGTGCGCAGCAGGGGCGCGCTCGCGGAGGCCTGCGCGAGAACTGCATCAGCCAACATCCGGCCGTACGCCAGCGTGTGTGCGTCGCTGTTCATGAGCTGAACGCTTGCGTAAATCCCCGTCACAAGCTCCAGCACGGCCGTGTCGTCGTCGCCAAGCGCAGCAATGGCTACCGCGGCGTGATTGGCTGCCCGCGAGAACCAGGTGCGCTGGTTGTAGGCCATGATGTCGTCTTCGCGCATGGCGCCAAAGGTCATCGCCGCCGGACCAAGGAGGACGCGCGCTGTCCACGCCACCGATGCCGGTGAGGACTCAAAGAGCCCCGCATGGCCACTGGTCGGCGCCGTCCCGTGGTTGACCACAATCGGGAGCCAGTCCCTTGCCTCGGCGGCGCAGATGGTCTCGGCCGCCGTGTGTGACGGTTTTGACCCAAAGTGCTTGGCCCACATGCTGGCGCCGTGCCCAATGGCGCGCACTGCATCGTTGACGTCGCCGTCGCCGTCGCCCATGACATGCTCGGAGACCGCTGCAACGACAGCGCCAAGATCAAAGCCGGTGTTGTGGAACCATTCCATGACGAGCAGTGCGTAGTACATGTCACACACCGCCTTGGAGTACCACTGTGTCAGCGAGGCCGCGATGCCGTCTGCGGTCGTCCGCGCCGCCTCCACCTTCGCCGCTGCAGCCCTCGCCGCCTTTGAACTCATACTGTTCCACAAGCGCTTGAGAGTAGCAAAAAAGCCACTCTTCCGCTCGTCCTCGGTCAGCAGTGCCTTGATATCAGTGGCGTGCTTCAGCTTGGACAGCTCGGCGTCGACCACCAGGTTGGTGCTCGACAGCTCATCGACGATCGTCGCCAGCATCTCCTCCGGATCAGAGCCAATCGTGACCAGGACCTCCAGATTACCGAGCATCTCCGGTTCAAGCAGTGCTGCGGGCTTGGAGATCATGACCATCTTCTCCGATTCCTCGCCTGACATGAATGGATACGTCTCGTACTTTGCGCCCAGCGCCCTGGCAAGGAACACCAGGTTGGTAGCGACCGACAACGCCGACACGCCCGAGCCAAGATCAAAGCCGTTCCAGGCGCCATCGAGCACGAGGCCGGCCGCCGCGCTGGAGAGAAGCTGTTGACGATGGGTACGGATCACCTCATCTGCGGGTGCCGCCGTTGTCTTTGGCAGGCCGAAGCACAACCTGTCCCGGTCGTGCCTGTTGCTCCTCCCGGGCAGCGTCATCCACTCGGTCTCGATCCGCGACACGAGGCTGGAACCGTCTGCGGAGATCGGGCCGGACGCAACTCGCGCGTTGACTTCGCCGGCGCTGAGGACGGCATGATGGCCGGCCAGAAGGTACTTGGTGGCCGGCACTGGTGTCAAGAGCAAGTCGCGAGTGGTGGCGGTGTTGAGCGCAGCGCGCACCTCAGGCAGCTTGTCTGCCAAGGCCCAGAACCGGCGCAGTATCAGATCGTCGGGCGCGGTTGGCATCCGCGGCTCGTCCACCTCGTCAAGCTTCATCGCCCATGCCATGGCATGGAGTAGCCGGAACTCATGGCCGATGTACTGTGCCTGCGCAAATGCCCACAGATCCGGGTGCAGAAGCTTGTGGAACGACTTGGCGGTGTCGAGAATGTCCTTGTCCACTTGCTCGCCATCGCTGTCCATCAGCTCATCCGAGATCGCAAACTTGAACGCGAGGACCTCAAACAGTGCCCTGCCTTCGTCGACGGCGGTGGTCATGACGGTGGTTGGATCGGCAGCCACTTTCCGCGCAAGGGCCATAAGGTCACTGGCTGGCGGCAGGAGGAAGCCGCACTCTGACGCCATCCGGAGCCGGTCAACCGCATCGATGATGTCTGCGGCCCAGCAGCTGCTGGCATTGTCGGCTTCGCTCTTGAGTTGCCTCATGACCTCGATGTTGTGCATGAGGGCGAGGACGAGCCGGAACGCGCTTGTCGGCTCGGCAGTGACGAGCGGGGCGACGACCGTCCGCAGCGCGTCTCCCGCGCCCATCCGCGCGAGAAGAGCAGGATGTTGGACAAAACAGTAGAAGCTGGCCGCGTCGTCGTCGCGCCGCAACATAAGCAAGGCCACGGTGGCCTCGCTCGTCACCACGAGGCGATACTTGTCTATGATGGCGCCGGCCTCTGAGGCAGAGCGCTCGTTGTACTCGGCGAATGAGCCCATGAGATCCCGGCGTAGCGGGAAGGCTTGGCTGTCCGGCACAGAGAGGCAGAGGCTTACAAAGCTCTGGCCGATGATCACCTTCTCCTCGGCGCCTAGATGCATCGAGTCGAGGGTCTCGGTCATGACGATCTGCTGCAGCTGTCCCGGCAGCTCAATGCCGGTGGCGACCAGGTGGCGGACGAGGAGGCTGTAGTAGTGGCTCTCGTCAGCCTTTTCCCTGCTCGGGAAGAAGAGAGAAATGCCGGCAGCAATGATCGGGTCGACGATGGTGCTGATGGTGGCCGCAGTGAGCTCGAGCTCGTCTTCGAGCCAGATTGTTGCCGCCCACGCAAGGAGCGCCGCCGAGAGCTGCGCGGGATGATTGGGTGAGAGGAGGGGCCGAGAGCAGTGGTACGAAGACCCGAGGCAAGGCCGAGATCGGCAATCATGTCAAGGATGGTGCTGTGGCCATCGGCCGTGGCCGCGGAGAGGATACGGGCAAGGCGTTGCGGTGGGACCATGAGAAGGATGTGAAGCGGGCTCGGTGAGTGAGCGGCAACGTCTGCCAAAGCGCGCGCCGAAGCGACTGCGCCATCGGCGATGGCGTTGGTGATGCTGACGTAGTCGAGGTTGCCGCCGCGGAGGTGGAGCTCGCTCAGACTGGCAATCTTCTGCGAGGTGCCAAAGACGCCAAAGTAGCCCGGCGCGTCGCCGGTGGCCATGCCAATGGCCGAGGCAAGCTCAAGGACGTTGGTCGATGATACGACGTTGACCAGATCGGCGACGGCGTTAGAGATGTCGCGGTCGGAGATGTGGGCCCGCACCGCATCAGCCGTTTGTCGGAGCCACATTCCCACGCGCGTTGCGGCTGGCAGCGTGGCCAAGTGCGGGTTGGCGACGGTAAAGTCCGCAAACGATGGGACTATGACCTTGTTGTCCGCGCCGCAGGCGACGATGGTCTTGACGAGACGAGCGATCTGGCGGGCCCGGCCAACGCCAGGCTCGTCCGAGGCGTCCACCTCGACTGAGGCCTGCGACGACGAGGCTGCAACGTCGGCGGCATAAAACTCCGCCATGACCGCAGCGTGGACTGCCGGATTGACGCCAGAGTGCGGAGCCGAGAGATCAGTGTTGGTGTGAGGACCGCAGAGCGCGATCATGGCGCTGGCGGCAAGCGCTTCGGTTGACTTTGGCGCATGGGAATGATCGTCAGAGGGCGCAAGCGCGACGCGCATCAGATCCAGCTTGACTCGGACCACGGCGCCGGACGGCAGAACCACGCGCGGGTGAAGGAGTTGGACGTCGGGCGTGTGTGCAAAGCAGAGAACGACCACAACGCGGAGTCGCTCTCTCCCGGGACGATCGCTAGCAGCAGCAGCAGCGAGACTCATCACGGTGGCCGGCTTGGTCTGATCGGCATTGGGCACAAACACGACACGGATGTTGCTGTCGAGGCCGAGCACAGCTGCGAGGTTGAGCTTGTCGGCCGACAACGAGTCCCAGGTGGAAACGATGGCAGCAAAGGGAGTCTTGTCGACGTTCGACTTTGCGCATGTCTCGAGGATGTCACGCGGCGAGTTGCCACGCATGACGATCGGAATGATGGACCTGGTGATGGCTTGGCAGGCGACAGAGTTGCCTGCGCTTGTTGACGAGTCGATCAGCTCGGTGGGGTCGAGCTTGCTGGCGAGTCTGATGCGATCAAAGGCGGCCGAGACTGAGACGACGTTTGGCGGGCGCGGCTGAAGCAGCTCAGGGTCCGGAGGAGAAGAGAGAGCAGCGCCAAGCGGGGTGTTTGGCTTGCAGGCGACGATTTCAAAGGTGGCGTCATCGCGGAGCGAGGCGGCGAAGACGATGGCGCTGTTAACGCGGGCGACGGAGCGGATGATGGGCAGGAGATCCGGATCCGGCAGCAGGACAAGGCGGTTGGTAGCCAGGTTGGGAGCGAGGTTGACCAGCTGCTGGATGTGGCTCCGTGAGAGACCACACAGCCGCAGGAGGCGGTAGGTGACAATCGATGGCGCGTGGGCCTGGAGCTGCTTGCACACCTCGTCGATGTTGTTGGGCGCGATTTCGTGCAGGCGGGCCGGCTTGGGGTAGTGGTCAAAGACCGCGAGGAGCGCCTTGAGGTGTGGATCGATGCTAAAGACCCCGCTCTTTGGGCCATCCTCCGGCTCAAGTCGAGCCAGAAGCTCCTTGACCTCGCTCACCATCGGCGAGTTGAACTTGGAGATGGCAAGCGGGGCGCTGGGGAGCGATGGCACTCCCGCGCGCAGCCCGCCGGCCGCGGCCTGAGGGACAACAAACGCCATGATCCCATCACGCATCTCGTCCAGCCGGGTCGGAGCAACGACGTCAAAGCCCTTCGGTGCATGGATGACCTGCAGGACCATGCCGTGGGCCTTGTAGAAGTTGACGTTGACCTCGATGTCGAGGGGGCGGACCCGGAGCGTGATGGTGATGTTGTGGACGGAGGAGACCAGCTCAGAGATGGTCAGGCACTGGAGAACAGGATCGACGGCGTGAGCGTCCTCGCCATGATCGTAGGCATCAGGCCCAAAGCCGATGCTGGGTTGGACTGGCTTCCACTCCAGCCGACTGGTGCAACCCCTGAAGATCGGCTTCTGGATGGAGAAGACGCCGACCGGCGGGAGATGGACCGCCAAGCCAGGCGCGTCACCAGGTCGCGGGGAGATGGAAACACACGGCGAGCTGCGGACATCGAGCTTGAAGGACGACCCGCGCACCTTTGCCGTGAGAAGGTCAAGCACGTTGACGAGCGTGTCGACTACCGCGTCGGCCGCACGCGTTCGCCCGGCGTCGTCGCCGATGTCGGTGGCGGCCGAGGCCAGCTGAGCAAGCGAGATGGCCGGCACAAAGCGACGGATGGAGTCAACATGCTGGGCGAGGGCAATGTTGTCGTTGACGGTCTTGCCCGTGCCGAGGACGTTAGAGAAGCCAAGAATGAGCGCGTAGTGGAGGGCTTTGACGAGATCGGACTCTGGAAAACCACTCAGGTTGGCCTGCTCGACGAGATCAAAGGCCGTGTCCGGCGCCGCTGCAGCTTCAAGCATGGCCGAGATGAGAGGACGGATGCCGTGCATCTCGCCGCGGACAAAAGCAAGGAGACCGGCGAGGGCGTCATCGTTATCGTTGTCGTTGTCGACGAAGAGGGTAGCAAAGTGGGAGAAGAACGGTGTGGAAGAGTGAGGCAGCTGGAGATGGATCTCGTTGGCCGTCACCTCACGGACCAGATCTGCCACAGCGAGGCGCGAGGCGACGTCAAAGGCGTCGGCGATGGTGTAGAAGACGTCCCACGAGAGCCCGCGCTCGGCAGCTTTGGTCACAATGGAGCTAAGTGTGAGCCCGTTCCCCACAGTGCCCACGATTTCGGCAACAAAGTCAAAGACGGCTGCGGTCCGGACCGACGAGCCGCCGACCAACATGCGGAGCAGTCCGTCGACCAGCGCCTGGGGCGGCAGGGTGGCCGCGGCGATGGTGGCGAGCAGAAGAATGTCGGCTGACAGGGAGGTCTCTTCCGAGAACAGCGACTTCCACTCCTTAGCAAAGGGGAAAATATCGCGGCTGTCGTTGGTCAAAGCGCTGGCAATGAGGTTGTTACGACCGATGGTAGCAAGGGCCGAGTTGTCGTCCAACTCGTCGGCGTCGTCGGCGTCAGCCAGCAGCTCGTCGCAGACATCGATGGCATCATCGAAATCATGGTCGTCCCCCGTGTACCCCTCGAGAAGGGCTTGAAGAAGCTTGGCGTCAAAGGTCATACCGGTGTCTTAAGAGAAGCAAGAGAGGTGTGTGTGAGCTGCTGCATGACGGCCAGAAAATGGAAGCCGTGTTTTAGTCTGTGCTGAGTGTGACGTCAAGGACGTCACAGTTGCCCCCCAAAAAAATGGGATGCGTGTTGCCACGCGGATGCGACAGGTGGGAGAAGGGGTCGGGGAGAGGGGAGAGGGGTTGAGGGTTGAGGGGTTGGGGAGGGGGGGGGGGGGGGGGGGGGGGTGCTGCAATGACTGCGTACGAAGACGGTTTCTGTCGGTATTGAGAGGGGTACGACTGAATTGAGTTGAAAGAGGGTTTGTTTGTTCCACGATCAGGAATGAATGCATGCTTGTGCGTGTGCGTGTGCGTGTGCGTGTGCGTGTGCGTGTGCGTGTGCGTGTGTGTGTGTGTGTGTGTGTGTGTGGTTGTGCATCAAAAGAACCCGCTGGTGAAGTCGTCGTAGCCGATGGGCGCCATGGGAGGTGGAGTAGCAGCAGAGTCGCTGGATGCTTGTATGAAGCATGACTCAGCGAGCATTACTTGCACAGCAGCATGGTGACGGGAGGTCTGCATACCGGACTTGGCCATCAGGGAGGCGTACCCGACAACAAGGCCACGCCACGAGTCGATCTCCCTAGCGACGCCGGTGCGCGCTGGAGTGGGCGGCAAGAGCGGCAGGTCGCTGCTGCTGGAAGACTCACAACTAGGGACGTTGCTCTCATCATCGCTGGTACTGTACTCATCGTCTGAGGTATCAAAACTGGCGATGTCGTCGCTGGCCGGCGACCGCCGGATGCGCGCCGAGCGGCCGATGGCGGCACGCCGGGTCGGCTTAGGTGTGGCATGTGTGACAAGCGGTGGTGGCGGCGGCGGCGGCGATGGCGAGACAGCAGGGGCCTCGAGGCGACGGTAGCGCGTGCGGCGGCGACGGGTTTCGGCTTGGTGTACCCGAGTGCGCCAGGCTGCATGGGAGTCGCAGGCCTTTGCGTACGGTGACGACGGATCGATGGGCATGGGGACGGCGAGTCAGGTGTGTGTGACGGCAGGACAGTGCAATCGCGCAAACTATGGACAATCGGAAGCACGACCGACGGCACACTCGAGGCGGTGCCGAGATGCGAGAAGAGGGAGGGCATCAGCTTGTGTGTGTGTGTGTGTGTGTGTGTGTGTGTGTGTGTGTGTGTGTGTGTGTGGCGGGGCGTTTAGAGGTGGGTGGTGGTGTCTGGGAAGAAGGGCGTGACGTCCGAGCAGGCGGCGTAGCGAGAGCCCCGATGGTGACGGGCTCCACTGCGCTCGCCGCGGAAACAGTGTTGAATCTTGGCCAAGGCACGACGGACAGCATCTGCGTCGTCGGGACCGCTGCAGGTGTGCGCGGAGCGGCCGAGGACAGATGGCGGGGCGGAGACGGACGGCGGGGCGCGTAGGCTGGTCGGCGGCTCCGGGACAGCGGCAGCATGGCCGAACACCGTGTCAGCCGACTTGCGGGCAGCCTTGGGGGAGGGGCGAAGGGCAGTCATACCCTCCTTCTGTGCAGTGCGTGCCATCTTCCGCCGGCGCTTGGCGGCTGCGCAACGGACGCGGGAGCGCCACTCGCGCTCGCTGGAGCACTCAAGGGCGTCACGGGAACGGGGATCAACAGGCATGGCGGTGATGAGTGGCGAGACAAAAGGGAGGACTGTGTGTGTCTGCGACAGTTGAGTGGAAGGAGAAGCTATCGGCGTTTTATGTGTGCCTTGCGGGTGTGCCCGAGTCGCACAATTTTTGCAAAACTGCAAAGTGCAGCGGAGCGCACTCCACCGGGACGCGGCTGCCTCAACGGCGGGCAAGGTGGGGAAGGAACGAGCCGGGTGTGGTGGAGTTGAGCGATAGGCTTGGGCTCCCGCTTCCGGTCATGAGAGCAAGGTTTCGCTGCATGCGCAGCTCACGATCGCCGAGGTACGTTGCCATGCGCAGCTCCGAGTCGGATGGCGGCGGCGACGGGCGGATGGCTGCGGTGGACACCTTCTGGGGCGAGGGTGAGCACGGGACCCGAGTGTCAGCTGATGTGTCAGCTGGCGGAGATGAGCGCGCAGCAGGAGGAGGGGCTGGGCCGGAAGCAGGGGATGCCGGAGGCGACGTAGACGGGGCAACGTAGAACGGAGCCGGTGAAGCCGAGGCGATCGAGACCGGCGGGGCGATGGGCGAAAGCGAGAGCGGGAGGCCAGGCTGCGGCGAGGAAGCAAGCGAGGCAGTTGCTGCGCGGAACTGGGCGATGCGGTAGTTGAGGTCATTCTGCTCGCGACGCAGACGATAGGCGCGCTCAGCCTCGGCCTGGCGCAGCGAGACGGTGGCAGCGTACTCGTGCTGGGCGACGATGAGCTCACGAGCGAGCGAGAGGTTGGCGTCCGATAGAACCGACATGTCCGGCGATGCGGGCTGCTGGGGAGAGAGCGAGATGCGCGAGGCAGAAGCAAAATCAGGATCTGCGGAAGCAGGCAGCTCCTTGTCACTCTCCTCAGACTTGCTGCGATAGGCAAAGAGCGCATCGACGACCAGAGCCGGTTTGGAGAGGTTGCGCGGGAGCGCACGGCCGAGATCGACGCCAAGGACGGCAACAGCAGCGAGAGAGAACGATGCAGGGGCGGTAGCAAAGTCGGCCAGATCACGGAGCTCGGAGACCGGGCGGATGAGGGGCGAGAACGCTGGCTCGTCATCAAGGTGCAGAGCGTCGACGAGGAAGGCGACGAGGCGCTGAAGCGGACGGGACAGTCGGGGAACATGGGAGTGGGTGACCTCGCCTGAGGATATGTGCGAGAGCGACGACGACGACGATGAGGGTGACAATGTTGGCGATCGCGCGATTGACGGTGGCGCTTGTGACTGCGGCGGGGCAGACAGCTGTCCACAAAGTCGTCGACCGATGTGTCCTGTGGCTTGTGGCGGTTGGCGATGACGCGGCGGGCGGCATCCTGGAACCGGGCCTTTCCTGCGCCCGACCGATCGCCGCCATGCTCATCAAACAGCGCGTACATGGCATCGGCAAAGTCGTCAACCGACGTGTTGGCGAGCGAGGCTTATCGCCACCATGCTCATCAAACAGCTCGTACATGGCATCGGCAAAGTCGTCGACCGAGACGTTGCCGTCGATGCTTGCGGCTTGTGGCGGTTGGCGATGACGCGGCGGGCGGCGTCCTGGAACCGGGCCTTTCCTGCGCCCGGCTTATCGCCGCCATGCTCATCAAACAGCTCGTACATGGCATCGGCAAAGTCGTCGACCGACGTGTTGGCGAGCGATGCTTGCGGCTTGTGGCGGTTGGCGATGACGCGGCGGGCGGCGTCCTGGAACCGGGCCTTCCCTGCGCCCGACCGATCGCCGCCCGGCTTATCGCCACCATGCTCATCAAACAGCTCGTACATGGCATCGGCAAAGTCGTCGACCGCGGCTTGTGGCGGTTGGCGATGACGCGGCGGGCGGCGTCCTGGAACCGGGCCTTCCCTGCGCCCGACCGATCGCCGCCCGGCTTATCGCCACCATGCTCATCAAACAGCTCGTACATGGCATCGGCAAAGTCGTCGACCGAGACGTTGCCGTCACGGGCCGCCACGCGACCTTGGGCAGCATCCCGCGCGACAGCGGGCATGTCAGGGCGACCAAAAACAGCAGTAACAAGACATGCGTCCGAGACCTCCAAGCCAAGCGAGTCTACAAGCGAGGTGCGGAGCGGTGCAACCACCGCCTGCAGAAGATCGAGCCCGTCTTTGCCGCCGATCTGTCGACCAGCGGCTGCGGCGGCTGCGGCCGATTCGGTTGAGAGGCCCGCCGAGTCGAGAGCACGTCCGAGCTCCTCCTGCGAGAGGTAGACACCGTACGACCGCAACCGCTCGGATACCCCTTGTACGAAGAGCAACGCATCATACCTCTGACTTTTGTCCTCATGTGTTGCCGCCATCCCCCGCTTGCCCGCACTGACGGCTGCAGCTGGTCAGCGACAAGTGTCAGTTTGGCCAAATCCGCCTGCCTTTGGTTGTTGGGACTGTCGGGCCATGGCCACGACCATGACCACCATGGCCACCACACCACTGCCATCATCACCACCACTGCCACCACCATCACCATCACCATCACCACCACCACCACCACCACCACCACCATCACCATCACCACTGCCACCACCATCACCATCACCACCACCACCACCACCATCACCACCACCA